ACTAGTAAAAAGAACTGCTGGCAGAGAAAAATTTTGCAGGAAGAAATCCCAGATTCTCTTGCGTACTTCAAAATATATGCAAAAAACTGTTGAGTGGTGAGATAAGAAACATGTATAGGTTAGGTTTGTTTAGACAGTTATGTGTTAGGATAGTATTTGTATAGAGTTATATAGAATAATTTCATTCAAAAACTGTTAGCAAAGGTTTCTCTGTAGGTTCAACAGTTGTCCCTGAAGAACAGCCATGAATATGGTTATACCAAGAATGCTGGTAAGGGAGGAAACAGCATGGATGACCAGCATCAGTCCTCAGTACTTAAAGCAGCTGGACTCTTATATTGATGTCTGTAAAGGACTCATGCAGTGTCTGTGCCCTGGAAATACGCTGGAGGGACTAGTGAAAGCACACGGGTACAGAGACTCTTGAGAATACAGAGGTCTGGAATAGTGGAACGTGAGACATCATCCAGTGGTTTCTGTGTGAATCCACACAACCTCTCAGAAGTGTAACAGAATGGTCTTTTTGTTATGCTGGCTGTCAGAAGACAAAGCTTGACACCAAAATGTCTGTCCCTCCTTGTAAGGTTCTCCCAAAAATGACTAAGCAAAGTGGCGTTATGCTATCCACTCAGAGTTTACAACTTTGACCTTGTTCAAATACAGTATTCCCTGGGGACTGTTTAACTTTGAATCACACCAGTCCTTCCTTGGTAGTACGGTTGAATACTGTGGAGCTAGTCTTTGAAGGATACGTAAGGGGCCGTAGTCCTGATGAGCATTAGAATTTTAATCCAGGCTACAGGATTTTCTACAGAACAAACAAACAAAAATGTTATGAGCTTGAGTAAGCAGTTACTTCTTAACCAGAGAAGGGAGATGCATCATTTGCTTTGGACTTTTACTTGTTCTTTTCGCTTTCTGAAGAACCTCAAAAACTATGGTATTTCTACCAGATAGTGAGTGAAAATAGACAAGTCAGAACATACTTATTTGTAGGATATTTTTGGTTGCATAAAACTTGCAAAAAATTATATTGCTCTGCGGCTTAACTGAGCCTGCCATAGTACTGTATTTTTCCAAGTAATTCTGTTGTTGAAGTTTCAGTGTTGCTGGTAGAGTTTGTTTTTCGGAGCAGAAAATATGGTGACGTTTGTGTATGCTTGTGCATGCTTGTGCGTTGTGTACGCTGTGAAGGTGAAATGTGCATGTGTGGTATGTGTACTTGTAACATTATGAAGAGGCTTAAAAAAGTTAATCTGAGTATGAGAGATACCCAGTTCTTGTAAATGTTTCCCTAGTTTAAAACTAGAAATAATGCAAGAAGTCAGTATTGTCTTTTGATGAGGATGAAATTTGAAAGCATGTCTAGTATGTTTCTGTTAATTATTCATGGAGGCCAGGTTGTGTTTTTGGAGGGGACCATTGCTGTATAATTGCTGAGAATTAGCGTTTTAGCTTGTGAGCTAAAGAGCTGAGGAGTTTAAAATTTTTATTGTTACTAATTTTTATTTTAATCAACATCTGTGTGAAAGACAGGCGTTAATAGATTGGTAATAACACCACACTTGAATTAGGAGATGGATCACTACACTAAGGCACTTTAATTGTCATAAGAGTGACACTTTAAACCAGGTTTCAAACAATAGACTATAGTGTAAGTATTTGCATCACTGTTACATACTCACCTGGTGACCAGTGACACTGACGTCAGAAAGATCAGTTCAGGGCTGTTGTCACAGAGCTTTAAATAAATAAATGTTCACTGGTACTGTCCATGGATTTAATTGTGACTTTCCTTTTTGGGGAGAACGGAGCTGGAATTGGTCTTAGATATGGCACGTCAGGATTTTGCAACTCTTTGGCTCTGATTGCACCAATATGGCACTCCTTAGGGTGCAACAATAAACCATAGAAAGGAAGCTGGCAATAAAATTTCAGACTTGCTTTTGATTTTCTCCCTCTGTGTTTTCCTGGCATTGTTTCAGAAAGACTTTACGCTTTTGATGGCATCATATAGTTCCAGTATTGGGATTAAACTAAGTATATGACATGCTAATTAACAAAACAGTACACTTAAAAGTGCACATGAGAAACACTTAATCATGAGAATTTGAAGAGGATATAATTTATTTTTTCCTACAGGCTTTGTAACGACTAACTTTCATGGCAGGTGGATGGGGCGTCTTGGAAAAATAGTCTGTACCTTGCGTTTTGTTTTGAAAAGGGATGAGAAAAGAAGTTCTAAAGAACAGAAATTTTAATTATTTTATTTATGATATAACTGCTAATTGTGGCACAAAAAAGTTGACTGTCATAAGCCATGGGTTGCTGTGTTCTCAAGTGTTGCTGGTGTCCTGTTATTTTGGGGCTGTCCAAGCCTGCAAAGCTTCAACTTTTCTGTGAAATAGTGAGCTTCTGCTTTTGAGGTGATTATGTCCAATACTTGGGGTTCGTCCTGTGCACATGTTTCTGTTTCTGGTGCAGCTGAAATTGAAATAATGCTAGGATCCTAAATATCTGTTGCAGTAGAGGGAGATGAGTAAATGATAACAAAGAAAAGATCTGGGGACTCTCACACAGAACTGCAAGGTAACAGCTCTGAATGTGATTCCTGGTCATCCTTGCCTGAGATAATTTTTAGGGGCATATTTCTGCATCTAAAATCAATGCTAAGGGTTTAGATATGCGATATTAGAATCTAGACAATAATTTCCAAATTAGATTTGTGAGATGCAGATTATCAGCCACTGTTATTTACCCAAAACTCTTAGTGAATTAGGTGTCTCTTCCTTCTGTTTGCCATAGGACTTTGATGCACAGTCGTACTCTTTTTGCAAATCTAAGCTGACACTGGTCTTCATCATCACATATCTAAATACATTTTTATGCGAGTTAGAATAAATGTCATACTCCACATTCAGCAGATTGTTGGGGAGAGAATTTTCTACCCCAGAAAAAGCTCTACTGAATTGACAAGCAAAAATTCTGCATGTTTGCTCCACAGAAGAAGCCAAAAGTTTCTGGGCGGGCTTTTTTTCCCCCGCTTTTGATAGGAAATGGCCAGATGCAATCTAAGCCTTGCAATAGCTAACCCCCTGTGTGCGATTGCTGTTATGGAAATAACTGTCTTTTGTAATAATAAACGATTTCTCTCTGGGAACCTTTTTGCAATGTAAGCAATCCTGCAAGAAATTAAGTGTTTCTCCTGGCTGAGGGAGGGTGCCAGATTCAAGCACTTCTCTTACAGTCTTAGGAAATTTTTAAAAAGCCTTTCACTTGAGCATGTGTGGAAAAAACAGTTTGTGACCTTCCCATCACAGTCACATACTTCTTGAAAGAGCCATGAAAAAGTTTATGTATGAGCTTGAGGTCCAGATATGAGAAGATGAAAATTAGCACAAAATTTCGATTGAGAATTCATCTTGGCTAACAAAGATTTATATCACATGTTGCTACAAAAAGAAATTTTTTCTTAGGGTCTGGCTGATTACTTACTGGCTTATAGCATTCCATAATGTGGCTTTGCCAAATTAAAAGTTAGCATTTTTACCTTTTTAATGAATTAATAGCACTAATTTCAAACCCTCATTTTTCTCTCATGCAAAATATTTGAGTATGATTCCTCGGACCTTATGGGACACAACATTAACTATGAGTGTAGATACACTGGTTTTAATCTGTTAAAATTAGTAATTGTCAGCATGATTTTCATGTGTGTTTGGAAATAAGATTTCAGACTTACAAAAGGAAGACCACATTTTTAACAATGAAGCTGGTCTTTCCATTCTGTATTGCTTCTGTTGCCCTTAAGATATTGAGGTGAAGAAATAAAGTAAATTCCATCAGCTAAAAATAACAAAGATAACAGAAACACATAAATCAAGTATAAATAATAGCTACACAAGTGAATTGAGGATTTTAAACAATAGCTGCGGTCTCTAACAGCAGGAGTGGATGAAAACAGAGCAATGAAATGCCCTTTAATGGTTTTGAATAATTATTACTATTGTCTAAGTCAGTTTTTAAACATTGAAAACTTTTTACATGCATATGCATGGCATCTTTTTTGAGAATCACGCATTTTTCTTTGCACGTAAATTGAAGGAAATAAGAAAGTATAGTTCAAGTTTAGAGACTGTCACACTATACTTTGACAAAATTATTTGCTTTATTTGATCAATCAACAGGGTGCAAATGGTTGCATATTGTTGTTATGCTTAAGCCTAAGCTGTGATTTCCAATATTGCAGTGCTTAAAAGATAGTTTAACCTTTTTTCTCTTGTTTGTTTTAATATATTTTACAATATTGAAGGTGTATCATCATTATTTATGTTCTGAGTAATGTAGTTAAGTTAAGAAGCCTCACGAACACCAAAATATAAGGCTATTTTAATGAAAAAAATTATGCTTTACAAGACTTTAAAGCTTCATGTATAAAATGCTTGTAACACTGAAGTCTTTAAGTTGTACTTAGTGAAGCATTAATTCACATATACTAATTGAGTAATTACGAATATGTTGCTGTGGCACTCAAAGCATTTATATGCTGTGAGTGGAAGTGGGTTGTTGTGGTTTGACTTTTTTCTTTTTTTTTTTAAAAAACTCATTTTCCAGTGGACTGAATATATTAGTGATGAATGTGCTGTGAAACTAACTGTTTGTTTCCATGCTGGAAAAGTTTCATGGCTCCAGCAATTGCTAGCCATTTTACCACACAGCATCCATCATTTTGTCAAAGTTTTAATGTTTTGTAGTGAACCACCTAGGAAAGAAAGGAGGAGAAAAGAATGACAAAACAGCCAAATTCTTTCAATCCATGCCAAAAATCTGACTGGAGTTTATCCCTGTTTGCCCTTGGAACAATTAATGTGACATTTTCCCGAATGCCATACTAAATTTGATTGTCAGTTATTGAAATGTATGTTTAAATCAGCGGTGATGCAACTCTAAATGCTTTTTTCATTAATGTCATCGAATCCTTAACCCACAACCTTTGACACATAACAGAATTAGAAAGCCTTTTGGACCATTTGGCTGAAGTTGTGCCCTCACTACAGTATCTCAGTTTGCTTGGAAACATGGCCTGCCCAAATGAACTGGTCTGCAAAGAAAAGGATGAAGATGACTACCAGAGGTACAGGTTAGTGTTTTCGCTATATTGATATAGTTTGATAAGGTATGTCAATTTTGTTTTATTACTGGAAAAATACCGAACTAAAACCAACTCAGAGTCTGAAACAAACATCTACACTATTCTGAAAGCACTGTAGCATATTCTGCTGTGAAACACCTGGGAATTTGAGTAACTGCATTTCAGTGAGATCAGTCTCAGGAACCCTATTTCAAGAAACGTTTCAGTGCTGTGCAGCACATGTTTGAGTCGAGCAGGTGTGCGCTGGATTTCCTGAATGTGGGTGCTCATATGTGCCTACTTACGGCCTTTCCTTTTTTATGGCCAAGGTAGGGCAACATTTACATACACTAAGGGTGACAGCCAATAATTTAAAAAAAGATCACTACTCTCAGCCAGTTGCATTATCTTCTGCTAACATTCGATTATGGTGATGAGTTTCTTCTACTATAGTTATAAAGGCACTATTAAAGAACACAGAAGGACCCCTTCTATATTGTGCTGCTTTACTCAGAGCAGTTAGCATTTACATTCAAATAAACCCCCCAAAACTATCTCTATAATGTCATTTTAATAAGCTAGATTACACAGAAGGTCATCTGGAAATTAATACAGAAGCCTGACAAAATACTATATGTCCGACTGAACTGTTGCTAAAAATTACAAGTTTGGGTTTTTTTTAAAAATAAAAATACTTGTGACTGATGATGGCTGTAAGCATGGATCCAAAACTTACAGGGTGTCTGCTGAAGTGACATAATTTTCATAGCTATAACATTTAGGTAGTGATACATTGATTATAAAAAAAAAAAAAGTCATTGGATTTCTTTTTACTTGTTCACATCTGATACAAGATTTCAGTCTTTGTGTGCTGGTGTTTTTGACATCGGTTGAAAATGGCTGTCTGAGGCAAGTCAGAGCCGAGCAGCACTGATTGCCATGCTGCTGGCCTTGCAGAGCCTGAGCTTACTTTTTATTAGCAGATCACCTGCAGTATTCAGAGTTATGTAATGAAACTCTGATTTTATCTTCATGTAATCCAAACTGTGCTGTAGAAGTTAGTATAAAAGTGACAGAGACTAAAAGCAGGTTTATTGGGAAGCGGCATGAATTTGATGCATCAGTTTATTGCTTATAAATGCTGTAGGTTGAAACAGCAGCACAGCTGGCCTGGGTGTGCATATACTTTTTCTTTGTTCCAGATTTTTGAGAAGGATTCCTAGGTTATCATTAGCCAGAAGACTTTCCCCTTCCTACGATTCAAGTTTTCAATCTAGCTTAGCTGTAGCATTTTGGTTTTCACCATGTAGAGCAGCCTAGATTTAATAAAATATTTTCCCATTGCTTTCACACTTAAGTGGAAGGTATGCCTACTATCCAGCTTACGAGAGTCTAATAGTTCTGTCTCTATGTAAATTTATGTGACATTTGCACTAGAGAATTGCTTAAAAAATGAATGATATTTCTACAGTTTACTGTTTTTCACTTTAAGTATGTTTTCTGACAATATGTCTCCTATTAATCATTTAAGCAAAAGTAGTATGTTAAAGGAGCCATTCAGAGGCAAGAACCCATGGTTCATTTAGTGCTGTCTGAAAAAATTCTTTATTGATTGACATCCTCTGTGGTTATGTGATGTAATATTTATAATATGTCACACAGCCATACATCAAAACAAGCATGTCTGTTGTTTCATTTCAATGCAAAAATGTTGATTTCAGGGAGGTCAAGGTAGTTTTAGGTCACATCGTGGCAAACCACCATGTCGAAGTGTGAAGTGATTGTATTTATGCATCTGCTGTAAACTGAAAAGTTGCTTCCATTTTGTTTCCTCTCAGTTTTTTGAAAACCTGGGTATTTTTTCTCATATAAACTAGGTTAATTAAAGCTCTTTTAACACAGAAGAATGGACTTCTAATTAGTTGAATGATTTATGGTTCTGCCGCGATAATGAAAGCTTCCTGATCCTATTCCATAATTATTTGTTACATTATATGAAAAGTGTTTGCCAGACAACATTAGACTCAAAACCCAAAAGCATGTGTTTATCTATTTATTTGGGAATATATTCACCCACATGGTGGAACTGAATAAAAATACTCTGCTAATTTTACTCTGACTCACTAATTCAGAATTTTGAATACATGTTCTGAAGCATCTTGACACAACTTTTTCTTCCTTCCCCCAAACGTACAGATTTATCTCCCAGATTTAACAGCAGCAAGCTCTCCTGCGTGAGAAAGTATTTGTATTTTATCAAATGTATTGCTTCAAATCTCAAAAGCAAACATTTGAAATGGCCAGTTTCATCTTTTTTTAATGGTTTGAAGTAACTTTTTTTTAATAAGATTTTTATTTTGTTGAGAAAATTTGCATACAGAGAACATCAAAACACATTGCATTTCAGTGAATCTGAATTATGTAAACGTTTTGCTTTACCATAAACTTTAACTGGTTTTGGTTTTTTTCTGAATAGGAACTTCTTTTTGTAAATTTTTGCAGTCACCATTGGAACCATAGCTTCATTTTTCATTGAGCTTTAATTTCATTCCCACTGAGTTCAATTAGAGTTCAGGCTATTTAATTCCTCAACCAGGAAGAGAAAGGTGCTAGAAATCAAAGCTTTACTTAATCTTCTCATTCCAACAAACTGAAAAGATCTGTAAAACCCCTAACATCTCAACCTTAAAAAAATATGAAAATCAAATTTTTGAAAACTCAAGATCCGGTAATTTACTGTGATATTAGTAACAGAGATAAAAAGTAATATTATGCCTTTTAAAAATAATCAGGTTTTGTCGTAATAACTTGGAAAATGTTTAAAACTATGCTTTTTGTCAAGATGTTATGATCTGGTTCCTCAGGTAATCCATTGGTGTGCCCGTTCTATCAATTTCAATACTAAAGCTTTTCCCAAGGTTTTCATTTAAAATAGGCTTTATACAAAAGCATTGTTGTGACTTTTTCTCAACGTCATGTGGGGTTTTTTTTCGAAGAAACATAGTAACATTTGAGTGGTTTGGGTTTTTTTTAAGAAAAAGAAAAAAGAAAAACTATTTTTTTCCATCCCTATTATTCCTTCGTACCTTTCAAATGTGTAGAACAAATTGATGAAAATATTTCTATGTTTGTTATTAGAATTTCTGCTTGGACAGTAGAAGTAAATGGAAAGTTCCCTTCTGCGGTATTTTTACAAGCAGACTTGATTGGTTCATTTTAAAAACTCATGGTTTTTTTCCATGATTGTAAGATGGCTTTACTTTGTGTTTTTTAAAAAAAGGCATTAAATTCTTACTTTTTATCTTATTTTTTATGCTTTCTGTGTTTGGGAGGTGTTCTTTTGTAAAGGGATATCTTGGGGTTGAGGGCAAGGGAAAGCAGAGTATCTAAAATATAACGTTGATAGGAAAGTTTTAAAAGCTTTTGGCTCAAACAGGAAGCAAGATCCACAGAAAAATAGCTTGCAAAGCAGTGTGTCCTCTAAAATAACCTATTCTACAATCTCTACTTTGAAGATTGCGTGAAAGCAAAGGTCATGACCCGGAGATCAAAGTAACAGAAGTCAACACAGTAATTGCTGGTTGCTTCTCTTGTACCCGCACTTGGTCAGTCCTGTGGGTGTATTGTTTGCAGGGAAAACTTCAAACGTGGTGTTACTGAACTGTGAAAATTCATCTGGGTCAGAATGTATTACAAAGCATTTGCGAATGCTGCAGGTGACCTCACCTATTTTCATTAAAGCGATATGATTGTGAAGGATGTATGCCATGTGTGAAGTTTTCGGTGCTTGTTCATTCTTCTTTGCTCCTTATTGACATTTCCTGGAATGATGCATTCATTAAGTGCTGTTGACATGGAAACAAGGGCAAGTGGAAACAAATGCCTGAGTTTATTTTAAATTAGCTTAAAAGTACATATACTAGATATGCTATCTTTGGCAGGGGGAGCAAATGGTGATAACCTTATGAAGTCCTCTTAAGATATAACAGCAAGAAAGGAAGTGAATGCATTTTGTATGGATTAACTTTTCGAGCTAAATCAGCTATTCCCATCCTACAGGTCTGATTCTGTGGAAGTGCTGCACCCTCTTATAGCATTTCAGTTTCCTCGCAGTTTTGTTTTGTTTTATTTTATTGTGGTTTGGTTTTGGTTTAGTGTTGTGTTGGGGTTTGGTTTTGTTTTTTTTTTTTTTTTTTAATTGAGGCAAAACCTACTCATTTATTTTAAATAGTCTTGTTATTGAATTTGGTAATATAAATAATAAATTTGGTAAAAGAAATACATATTCAAGAAGCAATAGGAGACTAGAAATCCTCAGTAATGAAAATAATGCTAATATACTTGGTCAATATCAGTGGACTTACTGTGGAGGCTCTTTTTTAGCAGAATGGATTGAAGTCTGTGATACTTTTGTATGGTTTTTACGTACTTAATGAGATGTATAGGGTATTCCCTTACATCTGTATAATCTATGAATCTGTGCTACTTCACTGTTTGCACGAGGCCTTGTCATTTTACAGTACCTGAAGAAAAAACCCTGTATTCAATAGACATCAAATAGTCCCACAACTTCCATCTGAGCTTAGCCACTGTAAGGATTTATGAGCAAGGGCTGTTGTAATGTTCTGTTCAGCGAAATAAATTGAAGTCTATAGTACCCCAATTTGTCCATACTAACATAGTAAGTCAAGACATACCTATAATTATTGTTACACATATAGAGAGATATTTTTCTAATTCATAGAGTTGTTTGCTACATTGAAGTTGAGCAGAGGATGTTAGTTATTAGGAGGTGGTCTGCATTTCTGAGTGACTTGAGAGACCCTCAGAATTACATAGCTATCACCAAGCAGTGCCAAAGTTTCACAGAGGCTATGTGATCCTCCAACATACCTCACGCGAACATCATGCCCTCTGTTCTGGAAGATGTTGGTTTCAAATTATGACCTGGCTTTCTTAACTGTATATTGAAGAAGTTTTGTTGCAGTTGGAAATTCTGCAGCCAACTA